GGAAGTATAGTTGAGATGCTTTAGGAAAGTATATGTATTAGAAGTTGCGTACAGCAAATCGTTTGTTAGGTATGTATTGAAGGGCTGCTGAGATTATACTAGTCTGAATCTTATGCTATATACATTTAAGTGATTCAGTTATATTAGTTGTTAATGGTACATTATTAGGTTTAAAGTTAGAAGAAATTTGATCAGTATATAGTTGCCATTGTTCTTTATTCATATTCTTATAGAGGAATACTCTTCAATATGTTCTGGTTGAAATACGCTGCTTGCCTAAGAATGCATATAGAAAGACCCATATTGAGATTAGAATTTGGTGATCACTCTTGGTACTGGTATTAGGGTCATTAATATAATAGGAGTTAAAATAATAGAGGATTGAGTGATTAGCCCATATATAGTCAATACAACTAGAATATCTATTATTATTCCAGATATTAGTAGATAATTAGATATGTACTACCAGATCATACATGTTATTATATTGTAAAAATTGAAGTAGTTTATGTGGATTGTATATTGTTGCTGAAGGCATTAAAGTCTCTTATAGACTGCAAGTTACTGGATGTTGCTACTTGTAGTCATTAAATAACAGTATTCTAAACCTCAAGTCATAGTTGTAGATTGTTACAAGGTAGATAAACAGATATAACTCTAAATCTAAAATTATGTTTAAATAGAATATCGATTGCAATTGCATATCTAGCAAAGGTGAGTATTCTATGGATATGTGGTTTGAGCCAGTTTCTTAGCATAATTGCAGTGTCTGCTTTAGAGCTATCTGTGCAAGACTAGTAATAGGTAAAGTTTCTAGATCTTTGAAGCTTAGCTCAAGCATTTTCTTGAGAAATCTTGGTTTCAGTTATACCTATTATATTGAGATTATTAAAAAGATAGTAGTTTTTCCAAACTTGCTGCTTAAGGTCTGTATTGTATCCTCAGGCATTATAAGTGCAGATAGATAAGTTAAGAGGTTGGTCTTGTTTGTTGTTATTATTTCTAGGTATAGATAAAGTTGAAGGAAGGGTAGACCTATCTGGCTTGGATCTTAATAGAATATCATCTGAGTCATATATTATAAAGAAAATATGATAATTTGATAATATATTAGAGTCATCAGGTAAATATACGTATGCTTCAATTCTATCATTATTAACTGTAATAAGAAGATAATATGCAAGGTGCTGAGCATTGTTTTGTGTTAAGTGTTGTCTGAATGAGTTAATGGTTTGTAGTTCTTTTAATAAAGGTAATTGGTAATATTTAAGATATTTGTTATAGCATATATCTAAATCATAGAAGTCTAGTAGTGTTAGTAATAATTTGGATAAAATTTCTTCTGTAAGAGTGCTCGCTGTTTTATGCTTAGTTCTCACAGCTGCGAAGGATTTCATAGTCTGCTATATACGTTCAGTCTGACTGTCATAAGTCTGGTCCTCCACATATAGAGGCTTTACCACCCACCTTCATATCTCTTTCTTCTTATTAACTATAACAGATGTATCTTTTTAATAAGGTGGCAGCTGCATTAATGTCTTACAAAAGATCTTAATTGTTCATATAGTATTTGTTTATGTTTGTATATATGTATTTGTATTTGTAAGGGAGGTGTCATTAATCACCTGATTTTTTTTACTTAGTAGCCTATCCTCCCTTCCCCCCACCTGATTCTAAAAATTAACCAATTAAATTATAGAAAAATTAATACTCTAGAAAGGCTTGTTTATAATTGTAAAATATTGATAGCTACTTATAGCAAAACAATTGCTAAAATAGATTACTTCTTGTATTATAAAATTGTTCATGTTTTATATAAACTATTCTTGTGCTCTTGCTTTTTAACTTATAGTACTCTGGTAAAGCTCTGGTAGAGCTTATACAAAAAACGAAGTACTTAATGGTATTGATTTGTTAACAAAAATTATTAAATTAGTATAGATTCTGAGACAAGGTTTGGTTATTTTTTAATTTTTACTTTCGAATTTTTTACTGTCTGGATAATTTGATAATCGCTAAAATTATTAAAGACCTGCAAATTTTGTGTTTCGCTAAGCCAATCATTTATTACTAAATTATAATGCCGATTATTTCTTTTACGTAATAATAAAAGTATATAAAAACTAACTTCAAAATTACTACGTAAATCTACTTCTTAGCCTTTAAAATAATAAAACAATATATATATAACTGATCTACTTCTTTAAAACGATAAAAGCAATTCATTAAATATATATATCGATATATTTTCTATCAACAAATTGTTACGCATTCATCATATATATATAATTGACGACATCCTACAGATAACACAAAACTTACTGGATTAGTGCAACACTTTATCTTGTTTTTATATAAATTAGTTAAATCCAACCTTGCTGAAAATCTAATAATCTATCCATATAAGCTTTATAAACATACAGTTTAGTGCTAACCAGCTGCTAATACGTATAACTATGTGATATGTTTCTTTGAAAAAGAAGGCTGATTACAAATTGAGGTTAGCTAAAACTAAATTAGCGATGGCTGGTATAGAATTACATTTACGCTTTCCCTGAATCAACCTTTTTCTCGGTATCCTATTAAGTTAGAATTACTGTATGAGGAAGGTTATTTCAAATACTCCTTTCGTAATCTTGATTATGTGGGATTGGTCTTGTTTTCTTGTTATTTTTATGTGAAACATTATTCCTGCTTAATATCTTCTTGATCTGTTGATTTTTGTCAACTCAAAATAGAGGATCCCTTCAATTTACTACAATCATTTCACCGAACGATCATTTAGCCGACATCATATAGGGTTAGGGTTAAGCATTTCATTAGTTGCAGATATATATTTTTACTAAATTTCACCTGGCATGATGTCGTCTAAATAAGCTGTCGGTGAAGTGATTGTTAGTAAATCAATACGGACCCCGAAATAGTATAGGCAAACGGATCCAGCCCAATTTTTTAAAAACTACACCATACTACTAATACTGTTAATAATCAACTATTCTCTAATATGTATATAATGCTGGATCAGTACATACGTTTATATGTAAATCGGCTTGTATTACACATATAGATCTGTTTTACGTACGTACGTACGTACATACATATATATAACCTATGGATCTGTACAACCTATATTAATAACAAATTATAACTGAATGATTTGAGATTTGTACATATAGGAAATTTTGAAAAGATTACGATACAGGTTATACAGAATTTTGATAATATTAGGAATATATCAATATAAATTGTAAATGAATTTGAATGGTACTTAACAGCAATAATACTATGTTAAAGTTGTAAAGGTATAATTTATTATGTTCTGATATTACTATCTAATGCAGAAAATCTGTAAAACTTATCAAATGCATTGTAATTACAGGTTTTTCTTTGGTATCACTCATGTGGGCGTTATTTAGAAAAAGATTTGGGAAAAATAATCTTTTTCTCAATAACGAAAATGCACGTGTCCGAGATAATGCACAGGTAGGAGTTATTTTACATGCAGGCACAAAATTCTAACAGAATTATTATCGTTCAAGGCAGGTAATTTCTAAAAAAATCATTTGCCTATATTGAATTGGTATTCAAAAAGGTGAATACACATGGATTCCATATATGAAAGCATATTGCCCTATCTTTAAACAAATGCACCAAAGCATTCGAGGATGAAAGAAATCCTTGATTCATAAAAGCAATAAAAAATAAAAAAAGTAAATAATACTCAGATATTTTGCACAGCATTTTTCATATTACCACTTATTGATTTTAGTATTATATCAATAAGACTATACAAAGTACCCCGATACAATACTTCACGAGTATTTTGGTGGAAATTGGTATTAGACTCGATTTTTAGTTAGTATTTTTTCAAATAATTGTTTTTTTAATTAACTTTAAAGCTAAGAAATATATGCATCTCTTCAAACAATTCTTATTATTCTTGTCTTTATGCATAATCTATAAAATCATGCTTTAAATATCTTCGCTCAACTAATTTGAACCGAATGTTCGTGATTAAACCTGTTTATCAATGTACCATTAAAAAAAAGTCAATTCTTAAAATAAGATCTGCTTGATAAACCTTATCGCTTTATAATGATAATATAAATATTTGTTGCATTATTATGAACTAAAGATAAAAAAAAGGGGAATTTACAAATAAGGGCCTGTAAAGTGAAAATAATTACAAATATGGGCCCAAATTACAGATAAGGCCTAATTTTTTTAAAAAATATTAATAATCCACTATGATGTCAAGTAAAGCACTGCGAATTAGCATGATATTTACTAATATAGAAAATGCTCATTCAGCTCTAAAGAACTACTTTGTTAAAATTTCTTTGCCTTATAAATAATTGTTAGTTTAACGCTATACAATATTTGAGCGAAAATGCTTATAATCAACGCTTCGTTAATTCTTTAATCTAATAATCGGTGTATAGATAACTCTAATGCCTATAATTAAACAATCGATAATCCTATAATTGCGTTTTGCTATCGTTATAATTCAAATGGTTATAGTAATAGGTGTGATGCAGTTATCTTCACGATCACATTTTTTCAGCCATCAATAGATTCGGCTCTTATATGTAATATTTTTTAAAAAATTAGGCACTTATATGTAATTATTTTCACTTTCCGAGCTTATTTGTAAATTCCCCTAAAAAAAATTATATATATAATAAATATTTAATAAAAGTTCATTTCCAATAAACCGTACAATTTATGATGCAGACTTTTTTGTCCACGCCAAAGTTCGACAAAAAATTTATATATTCAAATCCCAATAATTCTTACCAACATTTTGTCAACGCATATGCTTACTACAAAATAGCATCAAGCGGAATACCATCAATAGATAAGCAAACACTTTGTAATGAGGCAGCCATGAAGTGAAATTCTGTAAAAAAAGAAGAAACCGAAGAAATTGAAAAAAAATTAGAGAATACTTAACCACTCCAGCTCAATTGCATGGTTGTGTAACAGTTTCCACAACTAGTATGCAGCCTTCACCATCTCCTTCCGGTCAATCATTTCAACAACCTCGTGAATAACAGTTACAAAATTCTTCTACGTTTGAACCAATTCGTTATAATGCAACAGCACAAAAACAAGCTTTTAACGCAATAAAAAGATTACAAAAAGAATTAGAAGAATTAAATACAATGAATTCAATAACAACTAATATTCAGCTTTATAATGACCTTAGTTCACGGATAACTGTAGTTCGAAAAGAAATGAAAGAAGAAGAAGAATGACTTAAAAAACTCAAAAGGCATGCACATAACCAACAAAAATCTGAAATGAAAAAACTTTAGGCACTTGAAGATGATAATGTTGTCGTAAGGTATGATTCCCCAGGACGTCCGCCCCTTCTATTCCAGCACCCAAATCTTTATGAACAAATTCATAGCTGCATAGAATTTGGGAAAGCTGATGCACGAAGAAGACGTGAACTCATTAAGGTTAGAACAGTGAAACATTTTAGAAGTGCTTTAGAAGAAATTATAATATATACATGTCCCGAACAACTACAAGAAACTACATCTTACTTCAGTCAAACCACAGTTTAGCTGCAAGAGCCCACCACTATCCCGCTTTTGTTAGTATCGCAGGTGTTTCAAGAGATGAGAGAAGCAACTATGTAGACAAGCATTATTGTCTTGCATCTGTCAAGAATATAAGACAGTTTGCTGCGACTTTTGAAGATTTTTCCATAGTACTCTCACAAGATAATAAAGTGAAAGTCCTGGTCAGTTTTCAGCTGTGGGAAAACATTTTCGAACTATGCAAACTATTCGTGAGCCTGTATCTGTTTCTGATCATGACTTTCCTATCGGCTCATCCCAAAAATTAACACTGTCAGTATATTTAGCAATAAACCCAAATGAATCAAATGAAGCTTTGCAATTATCTATTTTTATTCAGGCGCAATGGCATATTAGTTCTACATCTATTTCACATATGGTGGATATCCTGTCTTTAGTAGGTAATTAGAAATAATTATTAACGGATAAGGGATATAATAAATATTAAATTTTTAAAAAATTCATTATAAATCTGTTATGTAGCAAAAATACCATTTTTGATGGATCGTTGGTACTGTTTTTGATAGATAGCAAAAAAAAAAATAATCCACATACCGTTCTTAATAAGGTTCTAAAAAAAAACATCTAAAATACTATACTACTATAGTAAAAAACAATTAGGATTAGGGTTCATTTTTAGAACCATATCAAGAACAGTACCCAAATAAATTTTTTATTAACCCCATCAAGTTCAGTACTACCGATCCATCAATGTATATTAGTAAAAAAACTATATAGCAGATTTTTAAAAATTCTTTTATTATAGCTGTTCTTATAAATTCCGAAACAACGATAAAAATTGACCAATGAGCATTTGGCCGAATTCAATAAGTTTTTGAATTCTGTGTTATCAGAATTACTGTAATATCGAAAATCTAATATCGACAATATCAAGTTCAAAAATCATCAAATTTAGCCGAAATAATTTTTATCAATTGTTCTAGAATAGCTGTAATAAACCCAAAATTCTACTATAAATAATAAGTAATAATTATAATCTTAATATATTTAAATCCGGATGTAGCTATTCGGCACCTGTTTTTTTAAATTAATAAAACTGATTTTTTTTTTTTTTTTTTTACCATCTCTATAGATAATAAAGATTTTTCTACAATCTTTAAGCGTGGTGAAGAGGTCAAACCTCTGTGGATTATTCTTGTAGACAGGGTCCTGACGAGAACTCCCGTCATTTAAAAAATATCAATCAGTATTGTAAGCTATTTCGTTATTTAGATTTGGATTATATAACAATTAGAACACATGTATCTGGTCAGTCATCGTATAATCCCGTGGAGAGAAGTATAGCGATGCTTTCAGGAAAGCTTGCTGGAGTTATACTAAAATTAATCATTTTGGAGAACATCTAAACTCACAAAGAGAAGTATGTGATTACGAATTGGGTTTTCTTAACTTTTATTATGCTGGTCAGACTCTTGCTGATTTATGGAAAAAAGACCCTATTCATGGCAAACCTGTTTATGTTGAGTATGTTGATGAAGAAAAAAATCCATTTGTCAATGTTAAATTTCCATTAGAATTAGAAACAACTGAGATGCAGATTGCAATGGAGGATGATATGCCCGTACCTTGGTCATGGGTGAAAACCCATTGTCAAATTTGTCAATATTCCTTAGATATTAAAAAATATAATGATTTATTGTGCTGTACTCCAAAACAAGCTGAAGAAGCTGCAGCATTTTTAGGTGAAAATAACGGCTTCTTACCTCCAGTAATTAAAGGAAAAGATGGTCACTATTTTAATTCTATACACATGCTTCAATACTTCAGCAATCTAAAAATTCCTGCATATGACGAACATCTTCCCTCTCTCTCAGCTGAGAATCATTCAAGGCAGTGCTGTAAAAAATGTGGAAAATACTTCCCTACAACTACTATGCTTGTAAGACATAAAAAACTATTCACCCCAATTTAAGAAATTGGTGTCGAGGCCAGCAATCCCAAACCAACTCGGCTACTCTAGACAATTTTTCTTTACTGCCTTCATATTCCGAAATATAGCCAAGAGTCGTTGTGGAATCTCAATCTTTTTCTGATGTTGAATAAGTATATAAAAAGAAGTTAGGTAATTAGTAGTATAAATGATTATAAGAATCCAGTATTTTTTTTTTGTTGCTACATAAAAACTATATAATAAAGCTGGTATGATTTATTAAAAAAATTTTTTCGCATTATAGGGTATAATGAAAGTCAGGTAATACAGATTCTAGGACTTTGATCTAGTGATGCAAAATGGCTGATCGGCTCTATTGATTAATCAGTTTTTATTATACTGAATATACAAGCTGATCGAGTTGATTTGCATCTCTGACCCCTTTAATCGAAAGTATTTAATCAATTTAAAAATTTTGACCCATTTGGAATACTTGTATCAGATTTTCGCACATTTGAAATGTGTGTCAGATTTGTGGCACAACTGTGGCACATATTACCAAACTGCGAATCAGAATCTGTATAAGAAGCTGGCTTTAGTGCTCATTAATGAACTTAAAGAAATTTTGCTGCGCCACTCTCATAGGAAAGATATCAGGACATTTTTATTGGCTAGATAAAAGGAGAGGAGGTGTCAGGTTACTACGTTATATTTTAATTGGCTAGAAAGAGGAAAAGGGAGTGTCAGGTTACTACGTTATATTTTAATTGGCTAGAAAGGAAAAGAGAGGGTGTCAGGTTATCATGTTTTATTTTAATTGACTGGAGAGGAAAAGAGAAGGTGTCAGGTTATCACATTTCATTTTAATTGGCTGGAAAGAAAAAGAGGGGGTGTCAGGTTATCACGTTTCATTTTAATTGGCTGGAGAGAGAAAGAGGAGAGTCAAATTATCACATTTTATTTTAATTGGCTGAAAAGGGAAAGAGAGGGGTGTCAGGTTATCACGTTTTATTTTAATTGGCTAGAGAGGGAAAGAGGGGGTGTCAGGTTACCACATTTCATTTTAATTGGCTGGAAAGAAGAAGAGGGGTATCAGGTTATCACATTACATTTTAATTGGCTAGAGAGGGGAAGAGGGGGTGTCAGGTTACCACATTATAGTAGCAAGTTTTACTTATACGTACGTACGTACGTCATCTTTCTTTATAACGAGCTAAGAAAACTATCTGCAAGATTAGTTGTTTAAGTTTATTATGCAAATTAGTAACCTACTCCACATTTGGGCTAAAATACCCCAAGCATGCTAATAATTTCGACCTTAATCATTTAAAAACACCTTTTATTTATTTTAAC